GCATTGCATTACACCAAATACACAAAATAATGTTCTTTTTAGCAACGTCATATGACCCCTTTAATAGAAACAACTTTTGATTTTAATAATGTATTAGTAAGTGCTGGAATCAACATTAACTAAGATTAATAAATGCTTTAAAAATATTTTTCATTGTTAGTTTATGTTAACTAATGTGGTTAAATGTATAGTTCAGCCATGAAATTCTACTTGCGTTCTATGGTTCATTTAATTCAATGTTTCCAGCCAATCGGATTCACGTACTCATTACCGTTTACCTATATAACCATGATGTATTCAATGGATGCTAAATCTGCGCACTATGCAAGTCCTCATCTTAGCCCACCGCCTCCCCAGCACCACCCACCTAGATCTGCTACGGGGGATCTTCTAGACCAAACCTATGCATGTTCTTTTAACATTAATAAAGATTTTATAATCTGTACCGAGAGTTGTCATGACTGAACTAATGGTAGCAAATGGAACCTTACTGTAAAGTGTTACCGAATTCTCTTATGCTCGCCAAGGCTGCATTTATTTGATTAAAATACAGAAATATGATTTAAATGTATTATTACTCCAAATTATTTTTATATACTGACTTGAAAACACTATGAAGAAAATGCATGGGGAAAATCCTTTACCAAAGGCTACTGTAAAAGTGGGTGTTCACTGCTGAACTCCATTAGTAATGATTACGTCTTTTGATAAAGAACAGGAAAAGTCCTACATTGAGTACATTACATATGTGTACCCTAAGGCCATGCCATTGTGTGATAGTGCGCATGTACATTACACATCACTGTTGAGTTTGAATAGGGGTCGGCAAGAGGCCCTCTATACATGCCATCATCAAGGCGTGTTAATACAGAACCTGAGGGTCAAACTGTGTGGTTGAAGGGAGAGATAGAGATAAATGAAGGTTTCCTCCTCTTCCTCCATCAGACATGTCCCACCAGCCCACTGATTGATGCCTCGTGAATAGAGATGCTTCTCACAGGCAGTGAGCAAACATAGCTAAAGAGAGTTTGTTACAATTTGTTCTTTTTAAGCTGTATTGTGTGAAGCAGACAAAGCCTTTCCCCGCAGCATTGCTTCAGAGTGGATTGCTGCTAGCCTCAGCAAGCATCAGCCTTATAAAATCAATTTACACTTAGCATGTCACTGATTTTTACTAATTAGCATAACTAATATGACCTTCTTGTCATCTATCTATTGTATTTATGGGTGGGACTTTCTCAATCTAAAAAGCAATTGATTGGACAAAAATCTGTGGTGCAGGATGAGTCATCAGTGTTTTTGGTCTGTTTTCCCGAAAGACAACGACTATACATTTTAAATACCCATTTATGCAACATTTAAGAGTAAAGTAGCACATGGACTAAGGCATAAAACTAAAAGCTACTATTTTCATTTCATGGGGTCATTAAAGTGGCTTAACTGTTATAGCTCAAATTGTAAATGAAAATTCACTGCTTTATTGTTGAGATAGAGAAGTATATAAATTACCTGTGGCACGTGTAACCTGAATATCCAGCTGGACCAAAGCCAAAATCTGGACACTGATTAAATGACCTGCAGTTTGGACTTGTTTTTGTCTCTCAGAAGCATGAAATCCTTAACTTGTCTTTGCATGAATCGTGAATTATGGCTTTTTCTCTCAACATCTATACTACATTTACCTCACCATCATTAGTTTATTCAGAACTGCTTTATATATTGGACTAGCTGTTTGTTTATAGCTTAATTTTTCTCATTGTGTTCTAGTCTCCTTCAACAGACAAAACAAAAGCCCAGTCTCTGGTTGAAGCTCAGCTCATGTACCTTTAAGTGAGATGTTTGTTCTGGGCTGTTTGGGATACAACAGAGCAGGACAGCATGATCCACGGTAGTAATTGAGGTCAGGATTCTCGCCAAGGACATGGGTGGAAATTTCAACATGTGAAATGATTGACCAGTCACTATATTATGCAATGCACTGTCGATGTTATTCGGGAACTTTGTGCAGGTATTTATTCTCATGATCAAGTTTGTTTTGTAGGTTTAAGCACTTTTGTTATATGTTGTTAGTGCGCAGAAGGTTTTGATTAAGTTGTCTTTGGGTGCTGATCTGAGACCAGTTCTGTGGTTTCTCTTTTGAAGGTTACGATCAGAATTGGGCTGAGACAAAGCTGGTCCTAGATCAGAGGGCACTGTCTGAAGACGAATAGGAAGAGAGTTGTTACATGCATGATGGGAAATGATATGTTTCCCAACTGTAGATCAAAAGAACAAAGCTAAACCACAAGTAGTAAACAGCCTCTGAGTTTCACATGTGCCAGAGCTGCTGAATTGACATTGACAAGGCTACAATAACTTCAATATAAAACACACAAAATGAAAGAATGAGAAAGAGAAAGAGAAAACAAATAGCAAACACAAAATCGTTTTACAGCAGTCAAGCCCTAGTTATCAGAGTCAGGCCGTGATGAGAGTGCAGGTCATTTCTAATTTATAGCTTTCACGGAAAGACGACAAACCGAACTGTATTATGTGACCTTCAGTCCATTGAGGTGTGTTTGCCAATCAGACTTTCAGGTCATGATAATACGTTGTTGGGAACCGTGCAGTCAAATGGTGATTATGAGAGACAGTGTAAGAAGTGCCACATTATTGTTCTTCTTTACTTGTCCAGTGAGGGAAAGGAATCACATGCACAACCCACATGAGTCATGACTGGAAAAGTATCAGTTTCCACCCATAACGACTTTGAAACGTATCAGCTTGCCTAGGTAAAAGGCTGACAGCTTTTTGAATGAACTTTACATCTTCGATCATCTTTCTGTCTATCTGTCCATCCATCCATCAGTCTATCTATCCCTCATCTGTTTGACTATCTATCTATCCACCTGTCTGTCCATCAGTCTATCTCTCCTTCATCTGTCTGTCTCTCTTTCCACTTTTCTTTGGATGGAAAACATCAGCCTTGTTCTTCTAAGAAGAAAACAAAATGCACTTTTAATTTTAACAGAGGCAGATTGAGCCTCAGATCTCATTAAATCAAGTTTATATAGATAAAAACATAAAGTATGTACAATATGAATAAATATGGCAAGTGCCCTAAAAGGAAACAGTCTAATCAGTCCACACAGCTACAGTATATGGGCTTTGTGTTCTAGGACAGCATGGCCTTGATTGGGCTGTACCACCTGGTGGTGCGGTCAACCTGTCCTCACAAACTGTTCGTAAATCCACTGGGATTACATCTCAAAACCCGAGAGGTCATGTGAAACAATCATTAGTAATGATGCAGAGCCCCAGGAGAATGTGATGTTTCTTCATAATATAGCTGAATGGCTGAGTCATCTCACTCGTGTGGTGAAATTGAGAATGTGATTCAACCTACTCCTGAAACATTTTGGTGATTGTTGAGAAAAGAACTCAAATTATAATAGGAGAACGATATAGTGGGTTGTTCAATGTGTGGGACTCTGAGTTTCATTTAAATTGTCTGCATTTTGCAGAAGTACTTGGTATTGTACGGTCAGGCAAACCAGTACATAATGTGATGTATTATGGAGTAATAACGCTCAAAAATGTTAGGTGTATCTTATACCGATTATTGAATTACAGACCAAGTGCAGATTATCAAAAAATTTAAAATAAGACCATAGAGCATAATTGTAAATAAATTATATTTTAAAATTAATCCTTTTTGGTTGTACTTTCTTCCATTTGGGGTTTGAGGCAGCCATCTTGTGAAATTGGAACTGCTGTCTTGTCATTATGCTGTGATAGGATTTGCCTCAGAAACACTGCATGAAACGCAAGAACACCCAGTATTGAAAGAAAATGTAAAGTAATACAACTAGATGGCTCTCTGAATGCCATGTAGACTTGCTCTCAATGAACACTTGGAACTTTCCAGAGAAGTCTATTGTGAATAGGACTGAAAGAGAGTACATACTTTCCCACAGGAGAACAGTGCATCATTAGAGCTGAAGTGGTGGGCTTCAGCCCTTTCTTTACTCCTCTCCTGCTTTCATATGAAAAAGATTAAGTAACTTTTGAAACACTGATCTCAATTTTCACCCCCACAGTCTGTTTGTGAAATGCAGGAATATGAATATATTTTCCAGTCTGGGATTTTGTGCCTGAGCGTTACTTATTTTGAAATGTTTTGTCACTTCCAGGCCCAAGGAGTCTTTGACTCAGTGGAGCCAACTGTATAAATATTTTACAGTATTGTTTCCAATCTATATGGGGGCTACTCCAGCAACATAAGATAGACCTATTATAGCAACCATTGCTTTCTCATAGAGTAGATAATATGAAATACGGTTGATTTTTACAACCTAAACGTGTAAAAAATTTTTACACTTATAAAGAGGGAAATAAGAGTGAACTCTTGGAAATGGCTTGCAACTGACTACAACAGAATGGATAAACCAAGATGTCATGCCTCAGTGAGACAATCCTATATGCTCTTAGATATACTGTATATATTATGCAGTAAACAAAGACAAGGAATGAAATCACATCAATAATAATAATAATTGTTATTTCAGTTCAACTTTATACAAATATTATGCTGATAATATATATTTGCAATTAATAGCCTAATAAAAATGCTAAATAGAAGCATTTTCACTATAGGGATCTCACACTGTACATTAGAAATCCTGTTAAATTACAATAATACAAAAAAAATGTGGGATTGGAGTCATTACAAAACTGATTTGAGTGGGAGGGTGAGGGGGAATCTTTAGTAATTTTACCATTTACATGATATATGTATATATTATTTTAAAAATAGACTCCATTCTCACACTTATCAATGCATGTCTTATACATGAATTTAGATTCTGAGTGAAGTTTATTTTATAGGCCTACTTTTTAAAAGTTTGGTGGGGGCAAGTAAGGCAGTGCACTCCGGGACACGTCGCCATCCAATGAGTGCGCGCCGGTTCGGTGACGTTGCCATACGCTACCGGCCGACACGCCCCCAGCATGGATACAATCAGCTCTAATCGGCGCACAGCATACTGTCACCTTAACGTTGTGATGACTACAGCCACAATGGGAGTTTTGATACTTAATCCAGACAAGTTTTCAGAGCTCTCATCGCCGGAAACGTATCTCTAAAGGACGAAAGCAGTCGGTGTGGCACGCTCACGGCTCGATCTCGCATGATTTACATGCAGGATGTCAGTGTTGCTGAAAAGCCGGTAAGATAGTGCAAAGTGAGTTTGCTTATGTGAGCTGCCTATTCAGCATCACACAAAGGGATCTACTGAGTTCAGATTGGGTTTGAATGTCATAAAGAAACAACTTCTACTCGTCAACGAAATGGATCACTTCGCAGCTGAGTGCCTTGTGTCAATGTCCAGTCAAGCAATTGTCCACGGTCCAAAAGGGAACCGAGAGATCAAGCCCGAAACTGCGGCTGCACAGAGGAATGGAGAAGAAACCAAGGAGCCTTTGAAGGACAACTCATCTCTTTTTGTGGTGGCGAGAATTCTGGCGGATTTTAATCAACAGACCCCCACCAATTTTGCCGAGCAGGCAAAAATAAAGGAGGAGAGCACGCCACCAACAGCAACCCTAACCAGAGATGATGGGAACTCTGCCACACCTACCACCACCATCACCGGCTACCCTGCTCTTAAACAAAGAAGCAAACGATCCAGGGGTCGAATTGAACAAGAACCCCCACAGAAAAAGCACAAATGCCACTATTCAGGTTGTGAAAAAGTTTATGGCAAATCGTCCCATCTCAAAGCCCACCTAAGGACACACACAGGTCAGTTTCCATTCCTGCCAAGTGTAATTGCCGTTTCGCAGATCCAATGTAAACATCGCGACATTTACGCATTCGCACACTTTGGGCACACTGTGTTCCGCACAAGTTCAGTTTTTACTTGATTGGACAACTGTTGTGTTGCCGTGATAATCTTTATTAAACATGAATTTACTGTAACTAGTCGTTTTAAAGGAAATAAATTGTTATTCGCGGTAAGTAGCATCGTACTGTCACGCCCACTATGAGGAAACTATACGGTAAACAGCAACTGTTCTTCTCCCCCGGTGCCTCCTATTTGAGCCAACTCAACACACACATGCCCAATAAACCAGTTTTCAGTGTCGAGTTAAAAGCACTTTATTGGCACGATTGTTCTGCGTACAATATTATCAGCGCATTAATGCACCCAATAAAACGGTGACAGAAAAAAACATAAATAAAATAAAGTGGCAGGAATGTCAATAAAAAAATAATAACAGTGACAACAATGTACTATAAAATAAACATTCAACAGAAAAAAAAACTATTTACAACATGTGTGCGCGCGTGCCCATGCACACAGACACATTTGTACTCTATACATTCAATACCTTCGCACAAAAATCTGCTCGCAGTTAAATCGAACACATTGAAACAGCAACTGTTCTTCTCCCCCGGTTCCTCCTATTTGAGCCAACTCAACACACACATGCCCAATAAACCAGTTTTCAGTGTCGAGTTAAAAGCACTTTATTGGCACGATTGTTCTGCGTACAATATTACCAGCGCATTAATGCACCCAATAAAACGGTGACAGAAAAAACATAAAATAAAGTGGCAGGAATGTCAATAAAAAAATAATAACAGTGACAACAATGTACTATAAAATAAACATTCAACAGAAAAAAAAACTATTTACAACATGTGTGCGCGCGTGCCCATGCACACAGACACATTTGTACTCTATACATTCAATACCTTCGCACAAAAATCTGCTCGCAGTTAAATCGAACACATTGCTGGCGCAAAAAGTGTCGGCACCCCATGATGTAATCGCTCATAAAAGTCTTGTAGGCTATAGTTTCAGGAGGCGATGGTGGTAGTTTGCGAAAGTCACTGGCAATAGCGCTCGGTGCAGACAACAAACGCCTTAGAAAGTCCAAAAACAGCAGGTTCGCGCATATTTGGGTTTTCTTTGCGTTAGTCCTTTGGATATATGCAAGGGGGGTTAAAAAAAAATGAATAAAATATGGGGGTTGGTGAGACTTCTGCGGTTGCTTGTTTGACTGTTAAGCTCTTTGTTGTGATGTGCCACACCCCCGTCGGACAGAATGCCAGCTGATCTGGCCAGCAACAGACTCGACCAGCCGAGCGCTGAACCGCGCAGAGAACCCGCCCTCAGCGCTGACCTCAACGCCTTCATAATTGACGGTTGGGTTGGAAAATACAGTTAGAAAAGTAATTGTACGTTCTGCTGCGCATTTTCACGCGTCGTGACGTGTATTGCTGCTGTTACCATTTTATTAATGCCTTGTTGTTGTCACTTCAGGCAATAGATGGACCTTTTGACAGGAAACCCTGCTCTAAATTGAAACATTCTTGACACCTAAAGGTATTGTAGCGTCAGATCAGAGATAAACCGCAGAAGTGTAAATTGTGTCAGGGTTTTTCGATACACACCCCTGGTTACTAAAAATAATGAATGTTCAGACAGTGCAATGTGTTTTATCAGGCAAAATAGATCAGATTGAGTCGTCTGGTGTCAACTGATACACTCAGTTCTTTATCATCATCTCTGCATATTTTATGAAATGTAGAAATTTAAGAATTTGTAATTGGAAAGCACATGGTCGAGCACAGCTATCTGAATATTAGGGGAGGAGACGTGTCTATTTTGATTACAATGGATGTGCAATACTGTCTTTGAAAATTTGTAGGTTTGCACAGTCATTTATAGATTTTAAGGTAGACCGTATTTACTGTGCAAAATTGATAGCTGTTGTGTTAGCATTGAAATTAAAGCACTGCTGCAAAAAAATCTAGAAATAATATATAACAAAATCTAAATAAACTAGTTGTCCTCACTAATCCAGAACCTAATTAATCAACTGTAATGACTCATCCCTTGTGGTTATTGTGTTCTGAAAATTTGGCCTACTTGCTTATGATGACCTAACGTTACCATTTTGAACCGTCTTCTTTGAAATTACATCAGGTAGAAGAAAAAAAACAGTCAGAATGTACTACCAATAATGCTTGATGGGACAACTGTTGTTTGTGGACAAAAAGACAAAATCTTGTCAGGATTTGCTGCAATGAATAGCATATCTTGTGAAGCAGGACTACCCCAAAACCTCTCCTTGACTTTAAAATAATACATAATGTATATAGTGTGGGTTGACTGGATTTTTGGTACAAAAGGCTTGTACAGTATATAATATATAACTTTAAAGCTTTGAAGTACTCAAGGTGGGCATGTCGTCTACTTTGCTTGATAATACGTTGGGTCTTTTACAGTATATATAATGGAATCTTTATGACTCAGAACACATCACATACCACCCTGCATTCTGTCATATTTTTCTGTAAAACTCCAGCTTCAGTTGTGTTCCATGGTGTTGGTGTTGGTTATGTGTCTGGTTTTGTGATGACATGTCAAAGTAAGTCATTTAGAGCAGATAAACAGCTCAGTTCATCGTTTGTGGTGAATTTGTTTATAGTGTGTATTTAAGACCTCCCTCACTTCCTGTCTTTCAGTTGGGCTGTTCTCTAAATTGCAGACTTTAGACTGGGTTTCACTGTAGTCACCAGTCTGCGATCGGACCATGATTCGGTTAAACAATGAGTGTTCCATCTCATTTGTTTTGGTAATCAGAGAATGTGGGTCATTTAAATTCAGCAGCCCAGGCTCAGCCAACCTGCTCCGTTCTGGGCGCCTTTCTTAAGCACTCAGCAAATTTTCCATCAGTCTCTACCAATGGAGCAAAGAGAAGATGGATCTTTCTCTCAGCAATGCACTGCTTTTGAACTGAAAGGGGAACACAGAGTCATAAAAACAAACTTGGGGAGACAAAAGAACTGCAGACCTCATCTGACTTCAGAAAATGCTCTGAATTTCCTGCTGGTTCTGGTTTGAATCCTGCTTTGAATCATTTGTCTTAATCCAGCTAGAATTGGGCACAGAAAGTTGCATCCAGCTTTTTACTTTAGTGTCGCCAATGGAGTCGTATACTGTAGCGGTAGGATAACAGTTTGGGCTCTGGGGCTTTCCTTCATTCGCAGAGATGCAGTCACACTAGTCAAACTGCTTTCGTGAAAACAATTAGTCATTTCTGAAAAATGCAACAGGTCTTGATTCTTGTTTCTTATTTTTGCATTTTTCTGTCTTAGCAACTTAGGAATAAAGTGTAACTAATTATTTTTCATTTGTTTGCTAGACCTTTTCAGTGTTCTCGTGTTATTCTGTTGAACGAGTAGGTCCAGGGGAAAGGGGGAGGGCTCGAACCATCACAAGTGCAAGCTTGCTGGAAAAAGAAGGCGTTTTATGATGGAGCTGGAGCAGATGTACTGTCATGATCAAACGGCACAGAAATGTGGCAAAGGGCTCCACTTTGAAATGCACTGCAGCAAATGCAGTTGTTTAAACAGCAATGGAAGGAACTTTTAACTTTGTACTTCTGAAGACTATACAATATTGCATTAGTATAGATAACTATGTCAGTGCAAAGTCTTTTTAAGTGTTATTTCCCTCCCCAAGAATTTGTTACTAGCTCACATAACTTTGTAAAGCACTTGTTTGCGGACTGAAATGACCCTTTTCATCTTGCTTACTGCCTTAAACCACATACGTTTGCCAAGCCCACAATTTTAGGTTCTGGGTCTATTTGTAGCTTTGTTTTCTTTTTAAAGAAAGACTATGTATTGTAAGTGCTTGCCCTCAGCAATTCTGTGGTCACCTGTGGTAACATAGTGTCCCTCACTGAGATAAGTCTGGTAAAATAACCTTCTTATGACCTTTCGAGAGGACCTTTTCAGTTTAGTCTGGCTGTACTGGCATGGCCTCTGTTGTCTGGGTGCATCCTGAACTTTTATCTCCACTTTGTTAGAGTTTATTATCATGTTAAGATTAGTTCATGGCCTAGGAGCATCAAGAATAATATTTTTATTTGATGTTTTATGGCTATGCCCAGTCTCAAGGCAAAAAAGAAGGACACACAGGAAAGTTGGAAAGGGTAGAAAGAAAGGAAAATATTCCAACTAGCATGTGGCTGGATAAGGAAGGGCTCATTAATCATCCTTATAAACACAGATGGACAGATTGAGAGAGATGCTTGGTTTGCATTTGATGAGTTGTTAACTGTAATGGTGCACAATATGCTTGCAGATGATAATTTATAACATTCTCATTACTTTATTAAGCCACAGTTGACTTGTGACGAGAAAAGGAACCTGTGGTATTCATACGCAGATGAAATGGGTGTGGGGCAATCCGGGAACAAAACAAAACAATTTTCACAAACCTGCAAGTTTCGGTTCAGGAAGAAGAAGTGACATGGCTTGAGAAGACTGCCAAGGCCATGGTTGTGACATTCTGGCTGTTAGCTATGCACAAAAGACTTGGTGTCCTTTCAGTGCATGTGACTTTTCTCATAAGTGTAGTTCCTCTGAAAGTGTTTTGCATGCAATACCTGACTTGAATAATTCTTGCTCAAAGTGAAACTGCTGTATTAGTACTTATACCTCAACAGCATTAGATTTCTACACATTTAAAGATTTAATGTAATGCAATAAAGCATTGTTTTCCTTTCAGCATTGAAGGAATATTTTGGGTTCAATTTAAGTTAAGTGCAAACAACATAATGTTGATTACCTCAAAATATAAATTCAACTCGTACCTCATTTTATAAAAAAAAAAAAAGTAAAAATCAAGGTTACGTGAGGTTTACATATCTTACAATAGAGAATTAGAGAATTTAAAGCAGAAAAATACATAATTTTCTACTATTAAAACTTGTGTTGCG